GACTTCTTTAAAACAAGTAATGTTAACTAGTACACTAGAGCATTGTTATCAACGTGTCACTTCAGCATCAATCATTAAGTGCCTTTTATTATATTCGTATCACTTAAGATTTGACATGTAGTATATATAATAATACGACATTCACTAATTATGCTAGGGAAATGTTACAGTAATACTATGAAAGCTATTAATTCCTACTCCTAGAGGTGGCAGAGAGAAAATATATTAGTGTAAATTCCATATGGGTAAGACAATATCTGTTTCATACATTCATACCCACAGTGCTTAGCATGGTGCCTATCATAATATAGATGTCCAATAAATATTTGTTAAGTGAACAAACTGTTAAAGAATATTGATAGGGACCACCACTATATTCTCATAAAAATTGACAAAATATGGATTGAGCCATCTCTCTATTGTCAGTAAATACAAAGGTGGGATACTCAGAGGCATAACTACACTATACAGATAAAGTAGTTTGGGGGGGCCAAGGTTGCTGCTTCTATGGATAGGCAAACCCCGGTTCTCACCTAAGAACTGGAAAATGGGATCATTATGATTTGCTATCCATTAAGGCTTCCTACTCAGAAGAACACACAGTTTTAAAAGGAATGCATTTATCCTATCTCAAATTTTTGGTGTATCTTTTTTTTTTTCTCTCTCTCTAAAGCATAACGAGCTTGTCAGAGTTTCCATGGTGAACACAGGGCACCATGGAAACTGATAGATTTAGCTACACGAAAAGAATAAATAAAATAGGCAGGCATTTATTTCACTGTACAATGACAACTTCTCTCCTAGATAAGAGAGGAAAAGTGGCTTCTCATTTAAACTGCTTCCCTGCACTCTGTACCTCGTGAAAACCTGAGTTATTCTCGCTGGCCCATTCTACTGACCTACGCTGATTGGATTCTTGTTTTTCTCAAAGTCTATTATTCCCTTAGTTTTACTGCAGGCTAGATTGGAGTGTCACCAGCAACTGTTGGAAAACCATGTACAATGTGAAAGTTGTAGATGACAGCCCACAGTGCAGTGGCCAAGTGAGTCATGGCAAAACTGAATGAACCGTTCCTGGGAGTTTACTGTGATGAGACAATGTGTGAGAACAACTGGACTCAAGATCCATGTCCGTCCTATACTAACTGCATAGGCAAGCCAACCTCCCTGAACCCGTTTCCCCATCTGTGGAATGGTTAAAATACATCCTCTTCCTATTTTATAGGGTTGTTGAGAGGCTCAAAATTAGATAGTAGAGGAGAAAGCCTTTTCAAACAGTCAGGTTCTATTAAGCAAGAAGGACTGACTGACTAAGCTGCAGGTATAATTACATTCACGAGATGACCAAAATGTCAAAGCTAATCACGCTATGGTCTAGGTTTTGGCCTCAGGCAATTAGAGGGTTAGAACCCGCTGATCCCACCCCAGTAGTTGGGGAGTTTGGGGACTACTTGGCTCCGTTTGAAACAGAGAAAATTGAGATTGTAAGAAATGAAGCTTTTAAATTTTTCTGTATGTTTGAACATTCTCATAAAATGTTGGAAAACTAAATAAATGAAATAAAACTCATCCTTAAGTTCTAGTCCCAGTGAATTGTTCACCATTAGCACACACCCACTATAGCCTCTTAATTTTTACCATTAAAGCATCGCCTGCAATTCAATATTCATATAAATCTATGGAGCACCTCCTAATGACCAGGGACTGTGTTAAGGGGATACACAGAAAGAAAGAGGACATGGTCCTTCAGAAAAACACAATCTTCTTTGGGGTATAGATGAGTAATGGAACGATTACAGCACCCCCACAAACTCAGGGGAGGAAGACTTAACACTCTAGAGCAGAAATGTAAAGATATCCTGGATAAAGGTGAGGGGGGTGGGGGGAGTGGGTGGGACAATGAGGCAGACATGGTATAAAGTGGTAAAAGGGCACCACAGGCAGAGAGAAGAGTGTGAGCAAAGCGGATTCAGAGCATATGGGAGAGTGGAGGTAGCCAAACCTGAAGAAGCAGCCAGGGAATATTCCATGCCAAGGCGGGGTTCTTTTTTTCTGAAGGAAGTGATATGTGGGGGTGGAGCACTAATGGTTCTTGGGCTGTGTTCTGAAGGTGAATATGAAAGCTCTGTATTCCCTTTTTCCTCCAAACCTCTGTAGCCAGGATAATATTCCCCTGGGGATACCAGAATGGGAGTCAAAATTGCAGGAGGACCAGCAATTTAAAGGAGTTGACAAGTCCGAGAGTGGAGTCTCACCCTGTTGCCCAGGCTGGAGTACAGTGGTGCAATCTTGGCTCACTGCAACCTCTGCCTCCCGGGTTCAAGCGATTCTCCTGCTTCAGTCTCCCTAGTAGCTGGAACTACAGGTGTGTGCCACCACACCTGGCTAATTTTTTATATTTTTGGTAGAGACGGGGTTTCACCATGTTGGCTAGGCTGGTCTTGAACTCCTGACTTCAAGTGATCCACCTGTCTCGGCCTCCCAAAGTGCTGGGATTACAGGCATGAGCCACCGTGCCTGGCTGGGAAGCCAAGACTTCTGACATGTGGTTGAGCCATGCTGCCAGGCAGTATAGCACCCAGGGCTTCTGGATCCTGGGTACCGACAACTTGACTGGGAATGGAAGCTCAAAAGAGCTAAAATTTACCTGAGGAGCACTAATGCCATGTCACCTGGAGGTTCATGGCCAATCCTTCTGTTTAAGACGATTAATTTTTTAAAAGCATCATAATGACTACTCATCCTATAAACCACATAGTAACCATATTAAAAAACATCAAAATAAAATTCTCTACTTAGTAATTCCATTATCTCAACAGAATAACATGCATTGTTTGATGTACCTTTTCAATTCTGGCCAATATGCTTATAGCTTTTCATGATTTTAATCATAGCATAGAAGCTTTTTTTTTTTTTTGAGACGGAGTCTCGCTCTGTCACCAGGCTGGAATGCAGTGGCGCAATCCCAGCTCACTGCAACATCTGTGTCCGGGGTTCAAGCAATTATCCTGCCTCAGCCTCCTGAGAAGATGGGACCACAGGCACGTACCACCACACCCAGCCAATTTTTGTATTTTTAGTAGAGATGGGATTTCACCATGTTGGCCAGGATAGTCTCAATCTCGACCTCGTGCTCTGCCCACCTCGGCCTCCCAAAGTGTTGGGATTACAGGCGTCAGCCACCGCGCTGGGCGAGAAGCCATTTCTGAAAGCTTAACATTGTGGCTCTATACTCCCCTATTATTTTTAATAACTGTAAAATATCAAGTAGATATATTCTAGTTCATAAAACTAGTCTTTTTTGACATTTAGGTTTTCATTAAAAAAATTATTAACCGTATCTGTTTTAGGAAAGTAATACATCTGTTGGAAACATCTAATTGAATCCAGTCTCAAAAGCCATTTTCTTCACCTTTCTGTCTGAGGTTTTTGTGTATACGAGGTCAAGGGAATGTTTTCAGTGTGCTGGCTGTTTCTACTGCCGGGAGGGAGTGTGGTCGGCAGAATCAGGAGAAAGTGACAAGGAGCAGGGACAAGTGTAATGACCTCAGCTGCAGAGATTCCTAATTCTGAGTCCCTGGTAGGGTGACCAACCATCTGTGTGCATGGTTCTGAGGGTCTTCCTGAATGGCCTGACTTTCAGTGCTAAAACCAGGAAAGTACCTGGTAAACCCAGATGAGTTGGTCACCTTAGACATTGGTTATGGGGAAGCTGAAGGAACTGAGAAGGGAATGAATCATTTTTGTAAGCCGGTTCTGTGTCATAAAAGCAGCAATTCAGAGAAAAACTGCTCACACACTGCAATGAAACCCTCACCCTTTATGTAGGTGTCGAAATAGTTATTTGTCTCAGGCTATGGCTCTGCTCACAGAAAAACCATCCATTATTCAATAAACATGTATGGAACACTGGCATTGTTCTAGGCATAAGACACGTCCCCTGCTCCTGTGGTGCTTCTGTTACTGTTGTGTGTGTGTGTGAGACTGTGTGTGTGTGTGTGTACACTGGGGAGAGGGAAACAGGAGTAAACTAAAAAACACGAAATAAATAAGGATGGATACAATAAATGCAATGGCAGAAACAAGATGGATTAGTGGAGTAGAAACTGCTGGGAGTCCGATGCCACTAGCTTGGTGGTCAGGAAAGGTGACTCCAAAGAGCCTGACATTCGAGACAAATCAGTGGTGAGAAGAGCCGCCAAGTGAAGAGCCACAAGAGGCATTACGGGCAGAAGGAAGAGCACGTCAGCGGGCCCTGAATGGAAGCCAGCTGGGCTTCATGGAGAACTTAGTGAAGGACCCAGTGGTCATTGTTTAGGGTGGGAAAGCTGACCCTAGTTATGACCTAGCTCCATTTTCACAAGAGGGGATGATAAGGACACCGAGTCCCACGTGTCTTGTCCACAGTCTCTTGATTCCCAATTCAGCACCCGAGCCCACGCTACAATTGCTGCCTATTTGACTTAAGAACTTAATTTTCTCCCCTGGTGCAACTGGAAGTAAATAAAAGAGATTCATTTTACACGAGAAAATTGGTATTGGAATTGTTTGCGGACAAATACAAGAACCAAAAACATTAGCCTCAAGGTGAAGAGAGGAACCTTGGGGTCCACAATGACACCCAGTTCACCAGAGACGTTTTGTAAGACATGCTTCCAGAACCTTCCAGGTGAGGACCAATACGAATTCTGCAGTCCACAGAAACTGAAAATGAAACTGGTCATAAGGTAGGCAGCCCCAGCTGACCTTTCACCTGTCCCTGAACTAATGCAAGTTCAGGAGCTGAGTGCTACAGGTTGAAGAAGTAAGTGATCGTAAGAGTTGAAGGGTCAGAGGAGCCAGGCTGACACAACTCACAGAAGGTGGAGGAAGCTGATCTTGTGAGCCTCAGCTGTGGTTGATCTTGATAACTCAAAGAGTTAACACACCCAAAACTAACGCAAGGGTGGGGAGAAAGACCACACCCCACGGGAGCGCGGAGCCAACTCGCGGGAGAAAAATCCTATTGGCATTGAGGAGGTAGGGAGCCAGCCCCTGGGCGCGGCCTGCAGGGTACCGGCAACCGCCCGGGGAAGCGGGGGCAGGACAAGGCCGGAGCCCGTGTCCGCCAGGCAGCCGCCCGCAGCTGCAGAGAGCCCCGCTGCGTCTCCTCCGCGTGCGCCCTCCTCGCCCCGCAGACCCGCGCTGCGCTCCGCCGCTGACATGTGTGCCGCCCAGATGCCACCCCTGGCTCACATCTTCCGAGGGACGTTCGTCCACTCCACCTGGACCTGCCCCATGGAGGTGCTGCGGGATCACCTCCTCGGCGTGAGCGACAGCGGCAAAGTAAGCAGGCGCGGGTTCGAGCGCACTCGGACGGGCGGGAGGACAGGTGCAAGGAACCCGGCGCGGTGCTCCGCGTAGCCCGGGGTTCGCTCGGTGCGCAGGGAGCGCCGCGGCTCCGGAGTTTAACTTGAGTCTTTGGCTCTTGGCCAACGCAGACAGAACCCTGGCGCTAGGCTCGTGGGCTGGCTGGGGACTTCCCAGAAGCCGGGAGCAGTGGCGTGCTAACGCCACAACTGGCTCGACAGCAGTCCGGGCTGCGGGAGAGCCGGGAGCAAGGATGTCACACCCCGCCTCCCCCCCGCCCCCCGTTCCAATCCTAAAATACCGACAATAATCTTCAATCTTGCTTCAATCATATTTGTTTTCAACACCTAGCACTGTGCCTGGCACAGGAGGCTCTCCATAAATGTGGCTGAATTTATTGTGAAAGAAATAAGAGGAGGGGTCATTTGATCGATGTTGTTTAGCGTGTCCAGAACATAGAACAAATAGAACTGATTTCATTCATCCTATCATTCAACAGAGATAATATACTAACGATGCAGGCTCCACAACTTGTAATACTAGACGGGATAGTCCGAAATAAATAATTCATCCATCTCTTTTCCTTTCTGTCTCTCTCTTATACACACACGCGTACACACACACACACACACACACACTCCATAGCCATTTGCATCAAAGCAAGCAGTTCCATTTTAACGTTCAAAATGTCTTCTTTGAATGTATCTTTTACACTTCCTTTTCCAAAATCAGGATTTCTACAAAGGACACAGGTAACTTGATGTCTAATATTTACTGTTCCATACACACATATAGTGACTATATCAACCATGGCCTGGCAAGTTTGGTAAGTGAAGCGATTCCATTTTTAGAAGAAAAAATGATAAAATAAATATGGAGATGGGATTTTTTTGAGCTGTTTTCCAACTACCAGTTTGGTTAGCAAAAGTACACATACTTGTGATTTGTCAAGTTGAAGATACTATTCTTGACTAAGATGCCGCTGAGTCGGTGACAGTTTTGAATCGTGACTCTTACATTTGGGGGTAACTAAACACTGTTTTCTCATGATGCTTTAAAAAATACTCTTTCTATGCATGTACAGGGAGCCTGGTGTTGTGTTTCCAAGGTGATAAAACTCAGAGCTCTCCCAAATGGGGAGATTCTGGTAAACCCTGAGACTGATGAACCCATGCTTGGGGACTTGGTCCTCAAGTTTCAGGGAACTCAGGTTTGGGGCAAGTCCCAGGAAGCAAAATAACGGATATTGCTAAACTGGTGTAAGATTAGAGGTGTTAGTTTAATCACAAGAAGCTGTTCAACTCTTAGGTTTCTTTTTTGAAAGTTAATTTCCCACATCCAGAATTTTAATTGGTAGGGTAGCAGGCGACTGGCTTTACCAATGGAGAGGAATAAGAAAAAGAAGTTATTTATCTAAAAAATACCTTTTGTGTTGCTTGTACAGAAGAAGAATAAAAGAGTTTCCTGGTCGGGCGCGGTGGCTCATGCCTGTAATCCCAGCACTTTGGGAGGCGGAGGAGGGTGGATCACGAGGTCAGGAGATGGAGACCATCCTGGCTAACACAGTGAAACCCCGTCTCTATGAAAAAATGTAAAAAATTAGCCGGGCGTAGTGGCGGGTGCCTGTAGTCCCAGCTACTCGGGAGGCTGAGGCAGGAGAATGGCGTGAACCCGGGAGGTGGAGCTTGCAGTGAGCCGAGATGGTGCCACTGCACTCCAGCCTGGGTGACAGAGCAAGACTCCGTCTCAAAAAAAAAAAAAAAAAAAAGAGTTTCCTGAACATGCAATTAGTAGTTGAGTCAGGGAGTCTATTCCTAACTAAATATCATACTGAAGTTATAAATTTAGAAAACATGCCCTTCCCCCACGAGACAAAGTTACTTAGGAATTGAATACAAAGGTGAGTTAGTCACTGGCTGGAATGTATGATACAGAGCTCCTGAACCAGTGGATTGCTAACTGTTGCTCTCCTCTCCTTCTAGGTGCAAGGCAGTTGATGCCTGGCTGTGTTTAAAGAGAGGGCATGCCATACATGTTTCAAAACTTGACATCCCCCATTTCGAAATGGAGAATGTCTTGTTTTTAGAGTTTAGAGAGGGCATGCCATACATGTTTCAAAACTTGACATCCCCCATTTTGAAATGGAGAATGTCTTGTTTTTAGAGTTGCTGGGATAAATATGTTATTTATTTAAACATTTCAAGGTTCAAAAAAGAAAATATCCCTTTGGAATAAAGAAATATGTTGAATTATTATGATCTGCATTTTTTTTTTTTTGAGACGGAGTCTCGCTCTGTTGCCCAGGCTGGAGTGCAGTGGCATGATCTGGGCTCACTGCAAGCTCCATCTCCTGGGTTCATGCCATTATCCTGCCTCAGCCTCCCGAGTAACTGAGGCTACAGGCGCCTGCCACCACGCCCGGCTAATTTTTTGTATGTTTATTAGAGACAGGGTTTCACCGTATTAGGATGGTCTTGATCTCCTGACCTCGTGATCCACCCACCTCAGCCTCCCAAAGTGCTGGGATTGCAGGCGTGAGCCACTGCACCGGCCAATGATCTGTAAGTTTTTACTGCTAAATTTTTAGGAGCTCAAACCTTGCAATGAATCAGAAATATCTAGGGGTGCTTGATAATATGCTGATTTCTGGGCATCATCCTCAGAGACTCTGAATCTATAGACCTGGAGTAAGCCCCAGAAAGTGGCATTCCAACAAGCATCCCAGGAGATTCAGATGCAGGTAGTGGGTGGATTACATTTTGAATAACTGTAGCACATAGTTCCTGTGATGGAACAAGTTGTGTGAAGTATCAGGAGCTTATTTCTCCATTGCAAGCTCAGATCTGGGGTAGCATCTCAGCAAGAGGGCACATAGCTTACTCTGTCCTTCTGGTCTCCCTTTTAGACTTTATTCCTTATTTTGTATAACTTCATTTAGGCCCAGAGAATGCTAATGACTGACTGCTCTTAATACATTAAATTAAAGCTCATTCGAAAGCAGGTTAATTAAAAGAAATTATCTAGCCAACTTTTTGATATAAAGCAAAATACAGAGTTAGACTTTCTGCTCAAGTAGCATGTAGCTTTTAAGAATATAGACTCTAACATGTTTAATTCATTTGCAAATATTTAATCTTGAGATATTGCATGCTCAAATATTACTAAGTTGCCTGATTCTTCCCACACACATCAGGGTCGGGTTGACAGTAAAGATGCATAAAGATGCCTCGGGCCTTTTAATGCACACTTACCCAGAAACAAGTGAGGAAGAGATTAATTTTGGGGTTGTGCCCTGGGGTGGCAGGAGCAAGTCCAATGGAGAAATAGAGACTTGGGTTCAGGTCAGAGTCTCTACCACTTACCTGTGCTGAGACCATAGGTGAGACCTAACCTGACTGAGCCTCCATCTCCTCATTTGTAGAGTCAGATTTCCTTTTGCTATGTATTACATGAGATAACGTATGAAAATGCCTGGCACTTAGTGGATACTTAACATGTACCATGTTCATTCTGTTCCCTTTGCCTCCTAGCAAATCCTTAACCACTTGCTCACTGTGACATTTTTGCATGTTTTCACAGGTTGACATGCTAAGTGGTAGAGAAGGAAGCCATGACCTGTGATGAACTGTATGGGGTAGTCGCAGAACCTTAGCTTTTTCTTCTCACTGCTTGTGTCATTGACCCTCTGGGACCCAAAGATGCAGCCGGGAAGAAAGATCAAGAAGCATTTAGTGCTAGATTCACTAGCATGCTATCTTTAGTATCTCTTTTAGACTTGACAGTGCCATTATTCCCACTAACAGATGAGGAAGTTGAGACTTGAGGTCATGCATTCAGATATGGTGGTGGTGTAGCTGGATTTTGAATTAGTATGGGCCAAAGGCCATGTTCTCTTTATTATAGCTGCTTGCTTCTCTAGGGCACAGTCCCAGACCTCAACAAATCTGCACTTTGGCAAGGGAGCTAAGACTTGTAGCTGTAATAAAAGTGGACTCATTCCTGAGCCAAACACTGGGCTTATTGCTGGAGATAAATTAATGAGCAAAGTATGCAAATACTGCCCTGCCCTCTTGAGGTTGATGATCTAGTAATAAATTAACAGAATCTTCCACGACCTATCAGAACTTGAACTTGTTAGGGAAGCTTTCCCTAGTGAGAAGTGACATTGAAATTGTGATGTGAACAATGAGAAGTTAAGTAGGTATATTAGTCAATTTTCATGCTGCTGACAAAAACATACTTGAGACTGGGAAGAAAAAGAGGTTTAATTGGACTTACAGTTCCACATGACTGGGGAGCCTCAGAATCATGGTGGGAGGTGAAAGGCACTTCTTACATGGTGGCAAGAGAAAATGAGCAAGATGAAAAAGCGGAAACTCCTGATAAACCCATCAGATTTTGTGAGACTTATTCACTACCACGAGAACAGTATGGGGGAAACTGCCCCCATGATTCAAGTTATCTCCCACTGGGTTCATCCCACAACACGTGGGAATTATAATTCAAGATGAGATTTGGATGGAGGCACATCCAAACCATATCAGTAGGTAAGGTGGACAGGATTTGAAGTAAAGAAGAGCCTTTTAGGTTGGGAGAACTGCCTGTGCAAAGGCCCTGGAGTAAGAAGGAATGAAACAGTCAAGGTAGTTAGAGTCCAAAGGTTGAGGAGAAGGCTAACACAGGGTAAGGCAGGACAGGTAGGCAGGGCTACGTTATGGAGGGCATCGGGGATGGTGGAATTGTGTCATGATTATATTTTGTGGTTTATAAAGGTCATTCTAACTTCAGGATAAATGCGTTGAAAAGAAGTTGAGTGCAGACAAAGAGGTCAGATAGGAGCCTGTTGCAGTATTTAGGTAAAATGGAATGTGGTTTAGATGAGAGAGGCAGTGTAGTTATCAATTGAGATATGAACTCCTAACAGTACCACTATCACTTACTACCTATGTGAATTTGATCAAGTTCCTTATCATTTG